GCATGAAATAACCAAGGTCTACCCAATAGAATTGGGTATGATAATGCAGAACTCTTCAATTGAAAGACTACATAGTCGATCTTGTATGTAATTCCCATAATAATTGTCTCCACATCTACCAGAACTTCCATCGGATGGACTTTACTATGATCCGCCATACGTAGTAATAAAATAGTAGGCAATAACCTAGTCAAACCCAATTTCTCCATGGTATCCTCTGTCATCAGATTGACGCTAGAACCACCGTCTACTTGGACGCCTGAGATTAAAACTCCGTCCATAGTAACATCAATTGTAGGTGCTCTAGGATCCGGATTTAAACTCACCTCATGAATCTCTTTGTCTCGATGTCTTCGTCGTATCAATGAAGAAGTTAGAGTAGAACGACACTCTGGTATTATAGCCAATAATTGCTTCATGGTAATAGCTGGTTGGATTTCATCAAGATCCTTTAATATATCATATGGAGTTAAATCAGTAGTAATGCCAAACGCTTTCTTCCGTCGAGTCTCTGGAAATTTCAATCCCTTAGAAATTGGCATACTCTGAATTGGATTGGATATCGGAACCTTATTGGATTACAAAACAGAATTAGGTGGTTCGATTAGTGTAGATATTAGAATACGCGATAACATTGATACTGTTTCTATTGGAATTGATTGTACTGGACATTGAGAATTGACTCCACCTGGTGCAATCGGAGTCGAATTGAATGAATCGGTAGGAACCAATACTGGTCGCAATTGGTTCGCTGGTTTTGCGAATATAGTCGCCTTCTTTTGAATTGGTTCAGGTTGTTCTTCAATAATTTTATCCTTTTTAAGAATTGATTGAAGGTTCCGTTGACCTCGAGTTTGTACTGCTTGGACTACTTCAATATGATTAACTGGAGAGTCTTGAAGAACTGGATTGATATCCTCTTGGGAACTTTGAATTTGAACCTGCTGATTGCGATTATTAAAATTAAAAGGTGCGTTACATTGGGCTGTTGTATGTCCCGATTGTTTACAATTTCCACAAATTGGTGCATATTCTTCCGAAGCACTAGAGTTAGAACATTCATTCGCATAGTGCCCATACTGGCGACATTGAAAACAACGAACTGGTTTTCGTGCCATCCCACTGGGTATATTGGAAGTTTCAATTGGGATGTAACGACTTGGTATGTTCCAAGTAGCCTAAGTAAATGATCCTGGTTGACCTGTTTGTAAGGAAGGCTCGGGCATAAACCCGTTATTTCCTTGATAATTTCGTTGATTTGGGTGGAACTTCTGAGAATTAGGTCCAAAATTTTGGTTATTAGAATAATTGCGGTTTTGATTATTAAATCGATTACCATTCCATCCATTACCGTTGCTCCCTTGAATTTGATTTACATCCCATGATATTGGTGGTGACATGGTATTATTAAAATGTGGATTTGACAAATACCAACAGTTATTAGTCGGATGCTTCCCCCCACAATTCATACATTGAATTTTCATGTTTCCTCGTGAAGGACAATCTTGAACCACATGACCTTGTCCCTTACAATTGGTACACCATACATTGGCTCGGAAATTGGTCTGCTTTGGTCGTTTCTCTTTTTTTTTGGCCATATTTACTGCCAACTCTTCCATTTTCTTGGTTAAATTCAATAACAGCGTTTCGTTGGTTTCTTTCGAACTTGGTAACATAGGTAATTCCTGCGTATTAACGCCAAGCGGTTGATACAGTGCAAATTGAGGGTAAGTGCTCGCCATCGGAGATGGTACAGCTTGTAACGGAACTGGGTTAAGTACCCCTTGGATTGGTACGATAGAATGGGTCGCAGGTGCCATTGCTCCAGTAATACTATTGGCTAAATTACTCCAATTTGGAAACTTAGAAGATCCTTGAGTAAGAATTAGTGTCGGGTTTGAATTTAGGATTCGGTCATAATGACATTCCTCCCACACTTTGGCTCTAACAAGCGATAATGCAACTGTGGCGGGTTGATTTTCCTTAACAAACATTTTTAATTCTGGTGGGTAGAGCCCATTGATCAATATTGATAAAATGAAAATTTCAGGTAAATGATTATTGGGCCAACGGCGAATTATGTCAGCTACTCGCCCATAATATGACTCCACAGCCTCTCCTGGTATCATATGACTTTGCATTAATTGTTCTCTCAATCGGTCTTCATATCAGATTGATCTAAAATGAAGAAGAAAAGCAGCTCTTAAAGCTTCCCAATTTGGAAACAAACCCGCTGGTTGTCGATTATACCATTCGAAAGCAGTATCCTTCAAAGTTGCAGGTAACCATCTTAACCACACATCTTCTGTTCGTCCATTATTGGCTACACAAGCGGTCAAAAATTGGGATAGATGTTGATCTGGATCAGCACTGGGCCATCCACTAAAAATTGGTAGTGGTGCTATACTTGTAGTTCGATCTCCTACTTGGCCCATTGGAACAGAAATTGGTACTGCTGGTCCAATTGGCCCTATTGGTGGTACCGATGGTCCTGTAGGAACACTGGGTACACCTCCCGATGCCATTGGTAATAATACAATTGGTGGTAAAATCGGAAGTGTGATAGTTTCTGATTCCGTAATTCGTTCAATGTCTTTAATAATCTCTTCCACCGGGCTACTTAATACCTCAGCAGGTAACTCCAATTGTTTAAATTTATTTGGCAATAATGCTCCTTGAAATAATGAGCCGAATTCTTTGGTAAATATTCTTTTCTTTACAAATCGTTTGACAGACTTAACTATTAAACTAGAAGAGTCTCCTGCCAATGAAAGAGGTAATTTAGATAAAGGAATGTAATTCTGAAATATTGCCTCCCTCTCAAGAACTGAATATGATCGTATATGTCGACATGCATGCAACCACGGTTTAATCCAACTCTGTCGTCTCCTCCTTTTCTGTAATACTTTTCCCACAATACGGTTTATATTCTTTGCGGCCAATCTCAATTGTCGGTCTCGTTTTTGTTTAATACGTCTTTCATAATCAAAATCATGTTGATGTATTATAACATCATTTCCCTTTTATTTCATAATCTCCTTCTTTCTTAATCATTTCACAATTACCACAATTCTCCAATCTTACAACTCCTCATTCAATATCAAATTTCTCAATTAATGCTCAACACTCATAACTATTGTCTTTCCCCGGCAGCGGCGCCAAAATGTAATCAAGAAATCCGAATTGCCATAATTTCTGAATTAAGTATAGTTTAAATCGGTTCAAACACAAGGGAAAGAACTGTCGCATGAGTTAATTGTTAAGGTCACCATTAATTGAATATAATCATTTGATATTCAATAAGTTAATTCCCAATCACTGAATTGTATAATATTAATTCTTCAGTACCATATCTAATTTAATAACTTCAATTACAACATTCTCAATTTCTTATCAATTCTCTGTAATTCTAACTTCATTTATATTTTCCAACTCAATGGTCATTCAATCATTTTCAAACTATCATCTCTCAATCTATAACACTATTTCATGTGCAATGTATAGAACCAATTCTGGTCCAACACAGCATTCACTGTAACACTGTGATCAACACACAATTCTCATAAACTTCTCTTTATAAACACAACGAAACATCAAAATACAAAAGGAAAGAAATAGAAAAAATAGAGGTAGCACCCAAGCATACCCCGGCTCTAAGACTCACAAGTCTGGCCCTCAGCTAATCAATCTTTCTCCTACTATACCCTTTTTTAGATTCCAACCGGTTTTTTTTTGTCAGTTAACTGTATCTTGGAACCTTTCACATGACTATTGGTTTCCTGATTTCATCAATACCGGTTCTAATCTACTAAAGTCAAAATTTTAGCACTAACTAATTTACCCGTTCTACAATCTCCCATCTAAATTTTAATATTTGAATAAGCTCTACATAATTTGCTTCATGTATTATAAGCTCTTACCAAAGTTTGTCTCCAACTTTTTTCTACTCTATTTTAAGTGTATCATGTAATATTTTTTTATAAAAACTCCTTTGTACAGAGCCTCTCTAAAATCTTTACATTTCCTTCTTGAATGATCTATGCTATCACACCACATATACCTATGTATTGCATCTTCCATTGGTCCTAATTTTTGTCCTATTGATGCTCTTGATGTTTGATTCTTTTTTTCAAGTTTTGTAAATTTTATTCGCAAATCTCTCATCCCTTATATAATTTCATCAATGTTGATTTTTTTTTTTTTTTTTTTTTTTTTTTTTTGATGAAATTATTGAAGATTAAATCATAGATGCAGAATGATTATTAGGCATTTTGCCTTTAGATATTTGCAATAGTCTTTGAATATCCACCCTATCCTATTTCTTTTCTCTTTTTGTAAGCAATCCTATTACCTCTTCTATTTTTTTCTAGTTTATTGTCAATCATCTTTTTAGTTTTTATTCATTGTTTTTTATCTTCAAATAAAATTTCCAACTTTTCTTGCAACTCTCTATGAACTGCTAAAAGAAACAGTTCCACTTTGCCTAAATTTAGTAATTATCTCTCCTTCATCAATAAATGAAAATATTGACTTTTGAGTTCTCTCAATGATTCTATTGCTTCAAGATCATTCTTAGGTCTTTCAATTTAGTCAAAAAAAACTTCTTTGTAACTCAATCACTATCTTCTAAGAAAAATTCATCCTTCAATGTTTGAGAAAATTTCTTCCCATGAATCTCCAAAATGTCCTATAATAAACTTTATATGATTTCTTATTTTTGGAGCAAAAACTAATTCAAATTATTGAACCATCTCCTTTTTAGAAACATGCTTTGTGAGTTAGAATAAACCTCTATCATTTGGAAGTTTATTCTAATTTACAACAAGTGAATTAACTAGGAAAAATTTTATGCAATTAAAAAATTCTTCATAATATGATTTTTATTTTTTTTTAACTTATTTTATTTTATATTTATTTTAAATTAATTTTTATTTAATAAAATTTCATCTATTGACAATTTTCATCCTTGAATAATATATCATCCACATACTTCATCCATGTTTTAAAATTTCGTCTTTTATTTAAACTTCATCTAAAATTATTATTCATCCAAGTAAATTTCATCCAAAATCATAATTAGGTCAAATCCTAACAGCTTCTATTATTAACTAAACTTCATCCAATTAATCTACTTCACCTATTGTGGAAATACTCACCAATTACGTTGACAACAAGTTGGAGTACCTACTACAGTTATGTGCATGTTGACACTTGGTTGATCGATGGTGTTCACTTCTTAAGACTCTGCAAAATTGAAGCCGAGCAACCAGCTGCCTCCAGGATAGGTTGCAGAGAATGTCGGGAAAACATGCAAGAGGCTAACGAAGTTGCTGGCTAGCTTGGTGTGTGCCAGAGTGTAGGTTGACCCCTCCAGTACTGGATGATGATGTTGATCTCAACAGCAGAACTTACTTCCTAACAATTGCATGCGCTCCTATCCAACACTACCATGCACTAATTCGTGACTAATTCGTGACTATGGTTCCTACCTTAACTTTTCAAAGAAGAGCTTACTTAATGCGTCTCAATTGCCTACTTAAGATTGCCTAATCTTAATAATCCAATGAATATGGAATGGCGTAGCAAGTTCGTCACAAAGTGAATTCACTTTAAGCCGATTTTGACCCTTGGTGTCGCACCTTCAGCAATCGACTAAGTAGAGGCTGGACACAACCTTATTGATCACAGCGTACGCCCTTGCCCTAGGAACCGCAGAGAACACCAGCTTCCGGATTGTGGGTTTTGAACCTCCACTCCAAATGAGCTCTGTAAGGCGGAAGCGTAGGAATAGACCGTCAAGGAATGAAATGTAACCCTCTTAGACCACCTGATTGTGAATTTAAGAGCAAATAGCGTAGATTACAGGAATTGTGACGTGTTAGATTTGGGCAGTTGGTTCAGCAATGCACAGTTAACCCAAGCCAAGTACAAAAACTCCAAGTGCAAATCTAGAATCGGGCCAACAATCAACATTCACGGTCAGATGTCTAGATCAAAAGTTGTAGCTACTTAAACCCAGTAGCCAATCACCACCACCCCAGTATTTGTCACAAATTTGAAGATCACGCAGTTCCTCAACTCAGCACTGGGAGAATGAGGAGACAAAAAAAACAGAATACACCAACACCATGGCCGTTGACCAATCGCTCTAGGAACAGAAACACCTTACAAAGGAGGGCCACAGGACAAGAGAACAAACCGCCGTTGTCGACAACCACAATCAGCTCCAAACCAACAGCACTACCACGGCTCGCTCCACATGTACGAGAGATAAATGCCCTCAAAGAGTCTATCCACTGCCACAGCATCGCAGACAGAGCCGAAGGAGAAAAAGAATAAAAATAAAAAATAAAAATCGTTGAACTCCCCGGATTATTGCCTACAGAAGTACGAGTTCTCTCTTTTTGAATCAAAGATTCCGCCTTGATCCAAAACTCATGGGCTCCAAGATTATCCTTTCGTTGAATAACCAAGAGGGAACAATCGTGTGAACCAGAGCTGGAGAGGGTCGTTGCATAGATCCGCGGCTCGAGCAGCAACCTCCAGATGGATGACAAGAACCGTCAATATCTTCGGCACCGCAGCAAAGAGAGCTAGAAGGAAAAAATGAAAACAACACAAATCCACAAATCCAACCGCAATAACGGCCACACTAGCTTTTTAGTGGTCTACACGAGCTTCACTTGCAATCACCACGCCAGCAACCGATGACCGTCGACATCATAAAGAAACCCAAACACAATGTCAAAATAGCACAATCTCGGTCAACCCCACGGACAAAAGAAGCAACAACACAACAAAAGGAATCACCAGATTGTCGACGCTCTACCGCAGTACTCAACAAATAGCCAGCACAATTTGTGCCTCCGCAACATCGTCGCCTTTACCACATACCTAAGGAAGAAGAACCCGCACCAAAGCGTCGCACTTCCGACAGTCCACAAAACGTCGGACCATGGGAACAAAACCAACGAGGGAAGAAAAACCTTGGGTGACACCGCCACTCCACCGGGAACTCTAGCCGCAATCCACCGTTGCACCGCTTCTACCAAGGAACAAATCGCCATTGGAATCGCACTGAACCGTAACAACACCACCACCAACGGAATAGAGAACAAGGAAGAAGAAAAAACTTTATCTGGATATTCTCCTTGCAGGAACTAGGAGCAAGGGAAGACAGAACAAGAGAGCTTGATCACAGTGCAGCCGCTGAACTTCCTAGGACACAAAAGAAAATTAATCACCGTGATCAATTCCATCACAGGCAACCAGAGCTACAAGAAGCTAGAGAGAATTAGGATGCTATATTGCAGCACCTCAACTGCACCAAAACTCCACAACATACACACGTTGAAAAAAAACATTCAAAGGCAAACTCCGTCTTGATCGGAGCCGGAATCTGTATAGGAAAAAAAAACAGAAAACAAGAGAGATGAGATTCAAGGCGGCCCCGACTCCCATCGGCAAAGAAGTTGCCCTCGTGATCCTCTTTTGTTTTGTTTTGTTTTGTTTTTTTTTTTTTTTTCTCTTCTTCTTTTTAATTTTCATTTCTTCTATTATATATTTTTTCTTTTCTTATTCTTTGATTTGCTTCTAACTTTTATTTTATTTTATATATATATATATATATATATATATATATATATCTTTTTTCTTTTGAAAATGAGGGCTATTTCCATTGAGCCATCATCTACTATTAGCTAATAAAAAATATATTCATCATAAAAATTTATCTTAACAAACTCTACCATAGATTACATATCTACTATTAGCAATCTATTTTCTATTTTTTTCTAAAGTTTTTATTACTTATTCACAAAATTTGTAATTTTCAAGCACAATAATTACATTTTTTGTGCTAAATGTATAAGAGGGTTAATTTGGTGACTCACATGTAGCTACCATCTAAGACAACTCAAAGAGATAGAGAATCCAGAAGTTCTTGCTACTTGGCAAGTCCTTCTCTAATATTAGTCTCTATGGTCTTAATATTCTATCAGAATTAAGAAGAATAGTACTAAAGAACTAAAATAAAATGCTCATAAAAAGATAGTAGTTAATACTAATTTTAATCCTATTGTTCTATTGTTAATTTTCTTGAGATAGAAAAGTCTATTGAAGATAATAGTCTACATACTAAAGCACGATGAAATAATTCTATAGAATAAGAAAAGAGACATAACAAGAGATGTACAATAATAGGAGAGAGAAGAAAAATAAAGTACTTGAAAGTAAAAAATTTAAAATTTAGTATTACATAATCATCTTCTAATGAGCAAAATTTAAATTAGAAGCTATAGAAGCCTTCATATCCTTTAGGTTGCATAAATTAGTTAGTTTCTTACTGTAACACTAGCTTATATGAATAGTTGCTTGTGTAGAGCAGATTCAAACCTAGATTACTTTACTCATAATCTCTATTGTGGCCAATTGCCCAACAACTTGAGGATGCTAGACTACTTTGCATTATCTCTAAATCCTATAAAATAATTTTATTATTATGATTATTATTATTATTTTTTATAGAAGTTATTATCTCTTAATAAGTAGATAGAATAATATTCTATTGAGACCAAAATCTAGCCTTAGGATTGCTTTTACTTCCTTAATAAGTCAAGATTCCATTTTCATAATAAAAATCAAGTTTAGCTAAGTTTTTAACTAAATTCCTATTCTATTCAAGTAATAAGAGAATCAAGTATTTTTCTACTAAGAGATAATTGTTTCAAACTTTATACTCTTAACATCTATTCCCAAATGTCCTAATTAGAAATACTTCACTTTTTAATGTTTATAATTACAAAGAATTATTGTAAAAGACTTTCCAAATATGATAAGGACCTAATCAAAAAGCATTAAATTTTCTACAAAAATCCATTTTCATAGCATCTTATAACAATGCTAGCATTCTAGATTGTAAGTCTCTTTTTTATGTTTTTTTATCAAAAATAATTTTTCTCCTTTAAATTGCTTCTACATATTGAGCTTAGTCCTTTGAATTTTATGAAGGCCTTCTAATTATTCTAATCTATCCTTCAAAGCTTCTTCAATAGTTAATTTATTATCTACTACTATCTTGAAAGAATTAACCTTAAATTCTATTGGTAGTATAGCTTCTATTCTATATATTAAAGAAAATAGAGTGGCCTTAGTTGTGACCTTGTAGGTTGTACAATAAGTCCAAAAAGTTGCTATTAATTTTGTGTCTCAATTTCTCTTAGAGACTTGTATTATTTTTCTTAGGATATTAATCAAAATTTGATTCATTCTTTCTATATGATGGTTAGTTTGTAGATGGTAAGGAATAGTCATACAATGGTTTATTTTAAACTTATAAGTCATCTCCTCAATCACATTATTCAAGAAGTGTGTACTTCAATCACTAATCAAGATTTTGGAACAATCAAATCGAGTAATGATATATTCATATATAAAATTAGTCGCATGGATAGCATCACTGGTTTTAATAGTTCTTGCTTCAGCCTATTTTGTTAGGTATATTATAGCCATTACAATATATTTCATCTTTCTTGAAGAATTAGAATGAACTTCTCTTATATAATAAATTTTCTATTTTTCAATAGAAACTAAAAGCAAGAATATGTAAAAAAGAAGTGCAATATACAAATTATTTTTTGTATAATATTGGTAAACATCACATTATTTAATATAATCTTACATATCTTAAAATATAATAGGCCAATAATATCCTATTTTTATTCTATTTTGAATCATTATTATATTATAAAATAATATAATATATAAAAATAATATGAAATATTATCAAATTTTGGATTGTAAATAAAAATAAAATAAAATAATATAATTGTCTAATTTTTTTAAGTTTGTAATTTAAGTTTTGTAATTAAAGATAAAAATTGTAGGATTTGTTAATAAAGAATTTAGAAGGACTTTGGTTTCAGAAGTCTAATATTTTGACTCCTAGGCCATTCCATGTAGGTGGATATAGTAAGTGATAAAGGACTTTATTTCCATTGGTTGAAAGTCATGCCTACTAGGCTTTGAGATATTATTTGGAACCATACTAGAATTGGAGCCATTTTAAGGCGGTCCATTGGAGGCAAGGTGGACCATTCAAGGTAAGACAATCTATTTGAAGTTTGAAGGTTGGATTCAAAAATCTTGTATTTAATGCTAAAAGTTGAGTAAAAAAATTTATGATTTGGGATTTTGATGAGGAAAATATGATTGTTTGAAGTTAGAGTGTATTTGGTATCTATTATTATTCTTTTTAAAGGTTTCTTCAAAATGAGATGTATGTACAAGTAAATTTTAGGTAGTATATTGATATTCTAGTTGTTAATATGTGTGCAAATTTTGAGGTTAATCAAGTAGTTAGATTGAAATGTGTAAAGGTTTTTATGGATTGACGTCTCAAAAATTGGATTTGATGATCAATGAATATTTCTAAGATTTCCAATGATCTATTGATTGGATTGAAGTATAAATTTTTTGTGTGGATACTAGATTTGATTTTAGGTGAAATTTTAGGTGAAATTTGGAATCAATTCAATGATTTAAGAAGGAGATTATGGGATTAGAAGTTTAGCATTTATATTGGAGTAAGAGGCCGCTTAATATATAATTGGATTTTTTTTTTTTAATTAATAAGTGTAATTGATTTCATCTTTTTGTGCTAAATTTAATATCTTATAATATTATTTTTTAGTATTTTTTAATATCTTATAATATTTTTAACTAAGATATTAAAAAGTGTGCAAAATTTGAGTTGATATCAACAATTCATTTATTAGTTGTTGAGGTTCTAATTTCTATAAATTTTTTTAAGAGTTTGTTTGTAATCTAGGATTTGATTAGAGTTGGTTTTAGATTTGGTTTAGGATTTTTTTAGAATTTGATTTAGAACTAGCCTAGGATTTATTCAGGGTTAAAGATTTTATTAGGGTTTTAATTAGGATTTGACCTAATATTTGGTTAAAATTTAATTAAAACTTTAATTAAGGTTTTTTTAAAGATCAATAAGATCTTGCATAGTTGCCACTACAAAGAAATAATTAGACTTTAAAGAAATCCTAAAGAAATCCAAAAGAAGTCTATAAGAAATTCTAAAGAAATATTAGAGAAATCTTAAATAAATCTTAAATAAATCATAACCAAATTCTATTTTAGTCCTAATTGAAACTCTAATGGATCTTAATTAAATCTTGGATCAAATCCTAATTTAATCTTAAACCAAATCCTAAACAAATTAACCTAACTCTAGGATAGTTTAGAACCTCAATATCTATCAATTATATTATTGATCTTGCTTAAGATTTAACACGCCTTTTAACAATTAAGTTAGCAACAAGCACACAAAATTTGAAGAAGATCAAATTTACCAAATAAAAGATCATTCCTAAATTCCACTCGGGTATTAGCCAGCTTTCTTTTTCAATCTGAATGTTGAACTTCTAGCACCAATATCTTCTTCTTAAACTATTGAATTATTTCCAAAGTTCATCTAAACTATTGGAAATCAAGTCTAGACTCCATATAAAAAAAATTTACTTCAATCCAATTCATAGATTGCTAAACATCTTAAAAATACTCATTAACTCTCATGCTCTAATTTGTGAGACTTCGACCCACAAAAACCTTCACACACTTCAATCTAACCATTCAATTGACCTCAAAATTTATACACATATTCACAACTAGCACATCAATATTTTAATCTATATATATATATATATATCTATACCACAAAATTTAAGAAATCTTCAATTTTGTAAACATAATTTTATTTTCTAAAATCTAATCTCTCAAAGAATCCTAGAGTTGCCATAGGTGTATAATTTTATATCTTGGGGTCTGATTTCAACCTAGGTTGACAATTGGTCCTCTTTGGATATCAATATTTGATAATTTGAGATAAATTTTACTTATACCTATTGATAACTTTCTTCTAAACTTGTTTGTATCAGATACTTATCTCATTTATTTTAATTTGAGGCATTTATGTCCCTACAAAGCAAATAGAAGCTTCTTCTTTAAAAGACAGTATTAAGACTTAACTTTTTATTACCTTCTTCTTTGGCAAACATGCTCTTCATTTGTGATTGCATTACTTTTTTAAATAATATTGAGTAGTGTACTTGAGATTTTCACAACATAAGTACAAACCATCTTAATATGTTTTTGTTAATAAGAAGTTTAAAATGTACCATATCAATTTTTATAGGCTTTGGCTTGATTAAATAAGCTTCTTAAAACTTAGAAGATGTCTCTATGGCTTGATTTATACTTCTTCAATTAAAACTTTGTTCTTAGCATTTTTCAAAGAATTAATTTTTGCATATAATGGCTTAAGTAATAAATTTCTTCAATAAATATGCTCTTAGAATTATCAACAATAAATATCTTTTAATTCATATTAAATTTTATTAATAAGGATTTTTTCATTCTAGTCCTTGTTGCAAGCAAGATTTTGAAATTTTGTAATATA